CTTATTACCACCCCACCCTCCCCCATTTGGGTGAGTGAAAGAGAATGTCCTAACAAATGTATTCAGTTGATTTTTACAAACAAAATCTAAACATACTCAGTTTCCTAGTTTTGATCATATAACTGCCTAATCTATACAGTGGAGGAGCTAATCTAAAAAAAGGAATATTTGGGGACAAATATTTACAGTAGCATATTTTATCTTAATATTTAATCCTTTAAGTGGAGAGGTCATGACTACTTTGAAAAAATAAGAATTCAAAATCCATGATGTCAGTGGTTGAATCCAGGTATTTGATCAGAGGGAAACAATAGTCATGAGGCAGCCCACATAACCAATCTTCTACTGGTATCTGTATAGGAACTTAAATGACAATGAGATACTGATGGCTTTAGCAATGTGATCTGCTTCATCTAAATGCCTTGCAAACTCAATGAACATGCAACAAAGCCTATATACAATTTATCAGCTATAACAAAAGTTAAGAGCATTTTTCCCCCCCATTTCAAATGATATTTATTTATGTTTCTCATTATCTGCTTTAGTAATCAGCCATATCTGTATGTGTCCAGATGATGCATTAATTCTGTAATAAATGGTCGGCATAATGCCCATGACAATTCTATTTTCAAAAAGTGTAAATTTAATAGCATTATATTAGGGTGTTCAGAAAGTAATTACATTCCACTAGAAAGGACATAAAAACAAATGCCAAATTAAATAATTTATTTAAATGTTATCAAAAATGTAATCACCTTTTTCAATGACTGCAACAGGAAGGCAAATTTTCGATTCCAGGCTTAAAGAAATCTTGGTTTCTCCCAGGGGGAAAAAAAAGGAAGAGAGAGAGAGAGAGAGAGAGAGAGGAGGAGGAGTAGGAAAGAAAAAAAGAAAAAAAAGAAGAAGGAAGTTTTCACTTTTGTTTATGAAATGTTCTAGTGATAGAATCAGAAATCTGTTGGTGCTAAATTTGGTCAAGTATGGAGGATGTGGAAGAATCTCCCATCTTAATGATCTGATTTCTTTTTTTTCTTGCATTGCTGAATGTGTGCCTTTGCATTGTCAAACAGAGGAATAACACCTTTTTACTTTAACAAAGTATGATATTTGATATAATGCTTCAGTTACCCAATCAAATTGCTGACAGACTTCTGCAATGATGGTCCTTCCATGTTCCAATATATCATAATGGATGACACCTTTCATATTCCAGACATAAAACAAAGTTTTTTGTGGATGATCTCTGGTTTTGTTGTTGACACTGTTTCTCATTTTGTGATAATCACCATCTTTTTTGTTTACTGTTGACCTGTAAACAATGTGATACAAAAATGAAAAGTTGACATTCCTGACAAAAAAGATGTCTGCAGATGGTAGAATGTTGTGTTTGGTTCTCAACTCATGAGGAACCCAAATTCCCTCTTTGCAAGATTTTCCAATTTGCTTGAATGGTTTATGGACACTTGAACAGGGTGCATTAAGTTTTTGTAGAAAAATCACTGGTGTTTTAATTTAACACGGATCCAATAGTTTCTTTCAAGAATCCTTTATTCAGAGCATGTTGTCTTTCAGACTGAGGTTTGTTGGATGTGTCACAGTTGCTATTTTTAAACCACAGTTGAGATGTAGGAGCCTTCATTGCATCTGTATACACTGCACAAATGTTTTTAAATGTCTCTACAGCAGTAGTATTCTTTCAGAATTCATACAGCAAGCAATGGTGAATATGTTGATTGTTAAAATTATCCTCTTCTGAAATTCACTATGCCTGATAGTGTTGGATAGAGAGAAATGATGAATAATTCTGAAAGCAATTTTGTATAATTCAATCATACTTCTACTTTGGTTGGTTAGCTCATAATTCACAGTGGTGAAATATGCAATTACATTCTGAACAGCCTAATAAAAATATCTGTACAATAAAGAATGCATAAATTTCATATGAGCAATTTCTCAAGAACTACCTGAAGTAAAGTCATGATTTGATATTAACTTCAGAGCATTTCTTCACCATTCCTTTTTACAAAATGCTGAGTGACATATCCCAGAAGTTCACAGAAAGTTGTTTTTTTTAAAGTATTAAAATGAAAATTCTATAGAAGAAAATAATTTTGCAACAGCAGAAATAAACGTAACAATGCATGTAAACTTAAAAAAAAGGAAGACTAATATTTTGCCTTTTATTATCTTTAAAAAAAGATGGGATTATTTACACAGCTCAGACTGTTGTCCTCATCTTTATTGCCATATTCACAACGTTTCGGTCGTTGCCTTCTTCAGGTGATATACGTTGAAATTTCAAACCAAACCCTTTATGGACACATGACTAAATGGTTAAAAGCGTTGGTTGAGTAATCCAAAAAAGCGAGTTGACTCGAAGAGTTGCGAGTTCAATACCTGGCCAGATACCGAACTCTCAACTTTATGGATCAAGTCACATGTGTCCAGGGATTAAATGAAGTGATTGGTTCAAGATACCAATGTATATGACTTGAAGGCCCTAGTGTAAAATGGCCAAAATGTTGTGAATATTTCAATAAAGATGAGGACAACAGTCCAAACAATGTAAATAGAATAAATATTTACAATACCTCATCTCAGAAAAATAGACAAATAGGCAATTACTACTAGAATTTGATTTATTGCTTTTTGGTCATTGAAAAGTAAAAAAAAAAAAATTTGGGCTTTTTCTTGAAATTTGGTAAACCATCAGTTTGAAATATATGAGAGTAATTGTTTTTAATTACCTACCTTAAATGATCTAATAAAAATAATGTTATAGTCCCTTACACTGGCCAGGCTTCAAGGGTCTTAAGCAAATTTATTCCAACAAGCAACAATGGAGGTTATACTGAATTTACAAGAACATGCAGGGAAAGTTTAGATGGGGGAAAGTAAACCTCTCCAGATTAGTATGAAAGTAAATAGCAATGATATTAAGCATTTACATTTATTATAGTAAATAGTTTTCAGCTAAAGAAAAAAGTTTTTAACCCCATGTCAAAAAATGGAAGGGTGTAAGGCAGGGAAAGCCCTTCTCCTAAAGCAACATAAGCAATTCATTTTTCAGTGGAGAAGATGACAAATAAAATTTTAACTTTCAAAAGAAAGCATCATTATATATATATATATATATAAAGTAAAGATTTATTGAAAACGCATTCTTAAACTTTAGCTCTCTGGAGGAAGCAAAATGTTTGTTCTAACACTACAGGTGACTGATTCATGACCAATAGTATATTTGAATGTCATGGTTGTGTTGTCATATCCTGCTATGGCAACAATTAACATGACCTAAATGGAACTTTCAAAGGGGCTACTACTATATACAGTGAATGATGAAGTAATAACTATTAAATAATGCAGAGTGTTAATGGTTAATCAATTTTTCCTCCATAAATGCAGACAAAATCATTTAAACTAGACATTCTTAATTCTATGATTTAGATCAGTTATTTTTACTATATTCTAAGCTGTGTGTGGATGGATAATGTAGAAAAGAAACCATGATAATTTGGCTCTTCTAAACAGTGAAAGTAATATAAACCAGCTAAACTAAAGAACTATGTCCTTCCTAAAAGGAATCAAACTGATATTCCCTTTCCATCAGGGTAACCATCCCTATAGCCAAAGTGAGCAGTTACTCTTTTGGCCATTGGATCCCATCTTGATAAGACAAAGTTCAATTACCCATTTAAGGAAATGGGTATCTGTTATTGGGTTTATGTAAAATCTATATCTGCTAGCTTCATTTTCATACGCCAAGTCTTTTTTTTTTAATCCAGCATTATTTATGTTATTTTTAGTGGGTACATGCATTTGAATTCCTACCCCACCCCTTAAACCATGACATTAAAACAACTTAACCTAGATTGAGAAGTCCTATTAAAAAACAAAAGGACTGTGCCTCTTGACAGGAATCAAACCTGTATCCACTTTTCCATCATGTGTATGCATGTTATACAAATATCCCAACTACTTAATTCTAGTCAATATAGTCTTAATACAAGATGACTGCAAGTTACAGACTTCATATTGTCACTAGTCTCCAGTACAGATATTTTTACACTACTGATATCCCAATTCATATTTTAAACTAACCAATATAGCACAACTAAAATCTAATCAATTTTATAAACATTTTGTACTGTTCTTGATAATATAGTCTTAGATTATGTTTGTCAATTTACTGGAGATCTGCTTCCCTGGCAGCACCACCACATTGCATAATAAAGTAAGGAGTACTTTGCAATCCCTGCAGCAACATGCTGATGGAATTAAGCTATTTCTGAAACCCACTCACAAAGGGTCTTATTCTTGTGAGGAAATTAATAATTATTCCTTTTTGTAAGATTGGTATTTGTTATTGAGTAGGGGGGAATCCTCCACCCCTACTCAATAGCAAAGACCAAAATGTTGGAATGTTGAATCTAAGGCCAAGAGATTTAGTTGCTCAACAAACAAATTTAAGAAACATTGCAATATAACAAGCATGATAAAACATTATATAATTATTCACTTGTAGAAAAATCGACACAAAAAAAAAAAAAACAAACCCTGTTGTCTGAAGAGAAATGTTTGCATTTCAAAGAGTTATTCGATATCCAATAAAATTTAACCTAATTCCAAAAGTAAACATTCTTGATTGAAATTAAAATTTTGGCAATGTTTTATCAAACCATGGCAAAACTATTGTAAAAAGAAAGACATGGAGAAAAGAGAGAGGAAGAAAAAGAAAAAAAAAAAAGACCCAATTAAAAAAAAAAATTTTTTTTTTTTTTTTTTTTTTTTAAATAATTTTATTTAAAGATTTTGTATAATAATAGTTTTCAACAACTGATTCTGTTTTTTTTTTTTTTTTTTGAAAACTTGGTTTTAATATTCTAACCACCCCATTGTCTTTGTAAATCCAAACCCACCCACCCAAGCAAGGAATTGTTTAAAAATTATTATTATTATTATTCAGTTTTCTTTCCGTATTTAAGTTAGCGGCATGTCTGCTACCGATGTCTTCCTACGGATAGGTTTCGGCAGATCGTGTCTCTTTTAATTTTGCCAGAGTTGGGTGTCTCAAGGATATTGTTCTCTGGTAGGGCATTATCGCCCTCATCCTCAACTTCATAAACCATATACTCTTCCCCAATATCATCACAGCCAATACAGAAATTGTGTAGCACACACGCTAATAGTATAATCTCCACTATTGTTGTGATATCTGTAGTCTCGATAACCTTAAGCCTATGAAAGCGTCCATGCAAGAGACCAAATGCTCTTGTGATGACTTTCTGTACTGTAAGCAGGCACTTGTTGTAGTGCTGCTGCGATTCACTTAGGTTTTCCTCGGTGTAAGGTGTGATGAGCCAGTCATACAGAGGGAAGGCTGCATCAGCCACCAAATGATACGAATTGCACAGTACAGTGCCATGTTCACGCAAACCGCTGTTGATAAGTGTCTGAACATCGTGGAGACGCCCTGCATGGCCGGCTGAACAGAACGTGAAACTCATATCTCTTTGACAAGCTGCTATGAGCTTGACAGAATAGTATCCGTTTTTATTGAAATAATTCTCCCTGTTCTCCTCAACCATTTTCACTTGAATATGTGTCGTGTCCAATGCCCCAATCACATTCTTAAGGCGGCTGAGGGTTTCAAATTGCGACGCCACAAACTGTTTATCACTCTCTTTCTCTGGCCACTTGATAAGATTTTCCTTTGATTTTGATAGCAGGGCTTTTGTCACTTTGCTGCGCCGTTTCAGAAACGATTCTTCGGTGATTGAGAAGCGACTGCAGATCTGAGCAAGAGATTCCTGCGAGCCCATGTACCAGAGCACGGAGAGCAAGCTTTTCTCCAGAGTCTCTGGTGATGTTCCTTGTGCCATTTCCACTGCCTCGGGACATGTGCGCAGATAGTTGCACACCTTGTAGTAAGTCACGGATGACATCCGAATGTTAGACTTGAATTCCGATGACAACAAAGACGGTATGTCCTCGCTGTATTTTTTTAACTTCCGTCGATCGTCTTTGGACCTGATAGTGGGAAGAAAAAAAAAAAAAAAATACTGATCGAAATACTGAGTCAGGTGGAAGGAAGACTTAAACTTGAATCACGCACATATATGGATATAGATATATATATAAGTATTTAATATAGAGGCATTAATATGCAAGAAAGGAGGAGGCAGCCTGAATGAAAAAGTGCATCATGGTGCTGCTAAGCAACAAGGATCCTCTGGGTGTGCAATACCCTGTAAAGAGGTGTATCACCAAAAAGTCCAGCAAGAGATAAGAGAGCAGTGAAAAATTCTCTAAGAATTTTGATCCAAGAAAAAACAAGTTTAGGATCAATTTGAGTGACTTTTTTTTTTTTTTTTTCTTCTCTCTTGTAAAATTTATTTTTCCTTTAAGTACAGATAGACTTCTAATCCTTTGGTGAGAGAGACGTCAGGAGTACGACATTTTAGAAGGTCAGTAACCAAAACTTGGTCAAGTAAAACAAGTGCAGTCTGCCAATTGGAAGGGAATCATGGGAGGCAATGAGGAAATAAAAAAAAAAAAAAAAAAAAAAGAGAAAAGAAAAAAAGTGGAATTCTTTGAAGAATATTGTAACTGTTTCATTTTCCGCAAGTTCAAAGTGAAGATTATCCAATAAGCGTGGTTTGTGTGCATAAACACAAAGTCTGGTGGCTTTGTGACAGAAAAAACAATTTTTTCTTCTTTGGCTTGTTAATGAGATTATCATCTATCTTGTCTGAGGATGAAAAGATAGGTCCCATGTCATTTTATTAGCAAATAAAAAAAAAAATAAAAATAAAAAAAATAAAAAAGTCAGCTATTATTTTTGAAAAAAAAAAAAAAAAAAAAAAAAACTGCAAATACTATGCAGAAAATAGAGAGAATGGAAAAAAGCACAACACTGTGTGAGAAAAAAAGAAAACAAAATATATATATATATATATCTCAAATCATCTTACAAAATTGTTCATTTATACAGTGGTTTTTGTGCATCAATTTAATTTCCGAGATTTTTTTTTTTTAAATAAAGAAACAATGTCACATTATTATAACACTGCTTTAATTTACAGAGTTAAAAAAAAAAAAAAAAAAAAAAATAGATGTTTATAGAGAAGGGGGGGAAATGGTTCATTAGAATTTGCTTCAGCTGATAATTCAGTTTAAAAGATAAGCTATCAAAAATTAAAAGAAAAAAAATTTGCAGGGTGAAGAACACCAGTCATAATCATAGAAACTCATTATAAACAGCCAAAAGGGAAAGCGGAATGGTTTTTTTTTTTTGTTTCTTAATTATCCAAATATTCAAAGTAATTATTCTTGTATTCGACACCCCCCTATCCCACTTCATGTTTTTTTTATTATTTATTTTTTAATTTATTTTTTTTATTTTTTCTCTTTTAAATGATTTCACCTCTTCAAGTCTATTGTCAAAGAGATACTTGGGACAGGAGCTGTGCCAGCAACTACCAATTCTCTTTTTGTGTTCAAGCTGCCTCAACAATGAAATACCAACATTGAGATTTTACTTTCTTTTTCTTACACTTAGAAGTCATTAACAAAAAAAAAAAAAAAAAAAAAAAAAAAAAAAAACAAAACAGTCCAACAGCTTATATATAAGAAAGAAAGAAACAACAAAACAATGAAATAAACAGAGAGCAGTAATGAGAGAGAGAGAGAGAGAAATTAAACAGAGATTTGAGGAGGGAGGGAAATAAAACCAGTGATTTTACAACAGGCACATAGATATGAAATGTGGTCATGTCAGAAGAAAAATGTATGTTGGATGTAAAAATGATCACACATCAATCAGTTTGATCAAATTGGACGAGTATTCAAAAACAAAGACTGCTAGAAAAGATTTTGTCCTGACAGATAAAAGAAATTCATTAAATATTTACAGAAATTTGTAGTTGATAAAACAAAATTATTTCTTTTCAAAACTATTTTCAATTGTAAGGACACACATTGATACAATGACAGAATAAAACTATTTTTTTAACATAATTTGTTAAGATTATAGTTGGCTTGTAGCTATTTTTTCCTTGTTCAAACTTAATAGACAACTCGCTAGTAAAAAGAAAAAGGTTCAGGTAAATCCTGTCCAAATAAAATGACAAAAAACAAAATAAATTGGTTGTTTGCCATATCATCATCACTTATTAGGCACCCTGTAATAGGTCTGAAAAATTAATTTTTAAGATAGAAAACAGACAGAAATGAAGAAAGGAATAGAAAGAGAAAGATATGTGATAGGAAAATACAAAAAATATGAATAGTAAAGAATGGTCAAATAAAGAAAGCATTTTTTTTTTTTAAAGACTTAAAAAAAAAAAAAAAAAAATATATGATAAAATGGTTATAAAATATGGAAGAAAACTTAAAATAAAAAAGAAACATTGAAAGATTCAATAATCAAAACAGTAGAAATGGTTCACCTTGGCCCAAATAAAACAAAAAAGAAAAATAATAAAAACAAAAATCAACATTATTATTATTTTTATCTACATTTATTATTATTATCTATTTTTAGTTTCACTTATATTTTTAAGCAATCTGATAGAGGATTTTAGTAAAAAAAAATTTTTTTTCTTTCCCCTAAACCATTCTACATTGTAATTAAAAGTATGGTAAATCATGAAACAAAATGGATTAGCAGGACAGACTGCATTTAAATACCTTGTTTGGCAACCAGTCTATCACAGAAAGAAATAGTAACCTAAGAAAATCTACCTCATCAGCCATGAAGGGAGACATGATTGGCCCAGCATGAATCATGTAAGGCACTTAAACTGGCTAAATAAAGGGGACAAGGCTTCTATTCTTCCTCTGCCAACACATCAATACACACACACAGAGAAAACATTTTGATTTTACTAACCTGATTTTTACTTTTTTATTTAATCATCAATATTTTTCTCTTTCCTGTAAAACCAAATTTTGAAGTTTTTGTTTACTGTAACTTTATTGAGCTAGTTCATCTAAAATGAATTATTTTTAGTTGCTTGCTTAAATAGTGGCTAGGAAAACTATTACAGATGTGACTAAACTTTAAGACAATTTTTTTAGACAATTAAAATAACTGATTGCTTAGACAATTTCATTAAGTATAGGGGTAAGACCAAACAAACCCTATCCAAGAAATAGATTTTTTTTTTTTTGAGTAATTTCTTGTTTGAAAATTTTATTGATTAGAGCGTAGCAAATATTCTCAATGGAATTTATATAATATTGATTAAATTATTGGGGGGAAAAAAAAAAAAAAACAAAAAAAACAAAACTAAAAAGAAAAACGATAAAACTATCTTCAATTAAAATATAAAAAGAAAAAAAAAAACTTTTTAAGAATATTAATCTCATTTTTTGCTTAATGATTTCATAAATTCTGTTCTTTTTCATGTATTTGCCTGTTTTGTATTTTCTCACAAATTTTCAAAAAGAAAAAAAAAAAAAAGCTTATAATTCATATCAACTAAAACTTTATAGTAATCTCCAAGGAATTAATAGTTTTATTTTTAATCTGACATGATTTCTTATTAGTCTAAACAATATTTTTAGTGGATATATGTGTTTGAGCAGATGACCTGTGTTTTTTTTTGTTTTTTTTTTTTTAAATTATGTCTACCAGAGAGACTTAAGGGAATATGCTCCCTGGCATTGTAAGCATGTCACCCTCCTTTACAGGGGAAACCACTGTGGCTGAGCTGCCTAAAGCAAACCAGATCAGATGGTGGTTTTGCCTACAAAGGGAGATGCAAGTTCTAACCCTGCCAGAAACCACATTATCTTTATTAAGCATTTTGAATGCAAAGGCCAGTAGACATATTCATTTGTTGTAGGTTATTCAAAGCCAGAAAATATTTTGTTTTAGAAAAAAAAAAAAAAGATTTTTTTTTTTGGAGATAATGAGTTAATGATGGAAGTCTTACTAATTAACCCATAACTAGGGAGGAGAAGGGTATTTGTGCTTAAGTGAGTACAACAAACCCAAATGGAATTAAAACATGGCTCCCAGATTAACAATTCCAAGCTATTATCCATTACACCACCTGTATATCCAAGCTTACAGCATCTGGTATTCCCAAGTGGTCACTCATCTATGTACTGACCAGGCTCAGTGTTGCTCAACTTTGTTGAACATATGGGAACGGGTGTTTCAATGTGATGTGGCCATAAGCTGTTGGCAGACATAATTGACACTGTTTAAAAAAAAAACAGAGCATCTTCTCAAACACATGAAGCCACTACTAGAATAATGTTTCAATTAATAAGAAAAAAATTTTTTTTTCTCTCTAAAATTGCCTAAGAATGGCTTTTAAAAGAACAAACCTGTAAATGGGAATTTACAAGAACCAACGAGTACTGGCAGTCAATCTTTTAATAGAAAAATCAAAAAAATCATTAATTGTGTAGAAATTTATGAGGAATATTCAAGTTCAGAAGAACAAAGGAAAAACCAAAAATGCAGATTTACGTGAAAAAAACTATTAGAGGAAACCAGATTGACTAAATGAAATGTAACTACTTGCCATGAAATTACTGAAATTTATATTTTTTTGTAGAAAAGTTTCAACCTGATATGACATTTATTGATAAATAAATTAGATAACCAGAAAGATCTTTCTTTCTCTCTCACACACACACACACAGCAAGTAAATATTTCACCTGTTTATGCAATTGCATCAAATGCATTGTTTCAAGGGAAAAAAAAAATTCTTTATAGATCCTAACATTCTAGAATAAATCACAAAAAAATGCTACCACAGTCACATCAAAACTTTGAGAAGTATTAGGGGTTGACATGTGCAGACAAAATAAAGTTTGACTTAAAAAAAAAAAAAAAAAAAAAAAAAAAAAAAAAAAAAATAACAATACAAATTCTGGGACTTGTTTATATGATTATTAAAAACAAATTGTTTTGTGCAGTATAAAATGGCTAAAAGTATAACAATGTAACTTTGAATTAGATGCAAACTGTCAATTTATATTAAAGCTATGCAGGCATGAAAAAACAGGAAATGAATGGAAAATATAAAAGTAAGCAGTTTAAAGAGAAATATTTCATCTACAGTGAAAGCTTGAAATAATCAGAGATTACTACTCATAGCACACAAGATAAATTCTTTCAATTTGAAAAATTACTCTCATTTTTTATTTATTTATTATTTTTTAATTAAATTTAATAAGTAGACATAAAAAAAAATTGTTTCCAATATTTTAAAATACTCTAAGCAGACTGATTTGGTGCTCAAATTAAAATGCTAAGTTGTCGCTGCTTGTTACTATAAACACTTATGATACAAAACACAATAGAAGATTTGATGATTTTTGAAAATGTTCCAAACTAATTTATTGTGACATTAAAGTAAATGTTAAAAGTCAAGGGAAGCATCAAGAGCAGGTGGATTTAATCTCCAAATACAAGTTTTTATCCGAATGCAGGTTAAACTACAGGTAAGAAACTTTAAAAAAAAAAAAAAAAAAAAAGAAAAGACTTGCAATCTACTGAAATTCCTAAGAAATGGATTTACCATTAGGGGGAATAAATGTTTATTCTAGATTTGGTTACTATTACTTTCAAAGTACTGCATCAAGGTGCATATACAATTGATGAGGACATTAGTACAAATGAATTCACTAGATTGTAGTAAAATTTCAGGCCATGTGAATTCAATTAAATCAAGATTTTTCATCTTACAAGTGACACCCATTTAAATGACGAGGGGTGGTGGTGTTAGAGATGATTAAACAAAAATCTGAATTTATAATAGCTAAGAGGAGAGAATAACAGGAAGGAAAAACCTAAGGCAAGAATTGTGTGTGTGTGTGTGTAAAAAATAAATTGCCTAATATTCATACTTGCAAAAAAAAAAAAAAAAACTTTTTCAAGGACATTTTTGTTTTGACACCACTATTAATACCGTATAAGTAGTTTGGCAATTTTAATTATTTTAAAAACCTATTACTTTTAGAATTTTAATAAAAGCCAAAACAAATGAAACTAGATCGATACATTTCTCCCATTCAAGGATACATAACAAAAATATTCTTTATTTATAAGAATAATTTTATATTTACAAGTTTATAAAAATGAGAACCCATTACAATGCAATATTTATTATTTATTTATTATAAAGAAATAACTATGAAAATTTTTTTTTATTCATATATTTATAAAAATGTCTGAACAAGAAAATTTAAATAAATGCAATTAAGAGTAACTGCAATTCTAAATTTTGAAAGAATGCATTTCCCTATTATTTCTTTCATTTACACCCGCCATACAAATTCCTGAGAATTGACAACAAAAATGTTGACACTATTTATTAGACAGTTTAATAAGAAAAGTGTCTAATATTTTGGTTGTCAATTCTTGAAGAAAAAAAAAAAGTAAAAAAGAAGAAGCATATTTCAGTTTTTATTTAACTTTTTAAAAACCAATAAAATTTGCTGAGGGCAAATACAGTCCATTTGACAATATTTATTT